CCGCCGGCGGGTGGGGGCCGTAGGCTAGCGGCGGTCTCCGGCGTCCCTTAGCGGGGCTGCCGTGGCTTCTTCCCGCTACCTGTTGCGCTTTAGGGAGGGGGCGCAGGCTTGAGGGTGCCTCGTGAGGCGCGGCGGCTTTTGTCGGCCCCGCCAAGGAGCAGGAAAGGCAAGATTTGGTGCTGCCGCCAGCTCCCTCTTCTGTCGGGACTGAGAGACTGGAAGCGGAGGGGGTGTCGTTCGTAGTCCTTAGAACTACTCCTCCGGCCCACAGAGCACAGTCACGTTTTGTCAGGGCCTTACAGTGAAACTTAGGAGAAAATAAGTGACTTTTGAACACAACTGTGAGGCCTCCACAACTAGACTCGTCCAGAAAGAAAAGGAAAATCCACAGGCCTGGGAGAGCTGTCAGGTGTGGTTTGTGAATCAGAGAACGGCCCTTGCCAGCCTGTCCAGTTGCACCAACCGGTTACACGGGGATGAGGGACCAGAGAATGGCCACCAGCTTTTCATTTATGTAAGTGATGACATCCTGCATGTTTTGGAAATCAAAATATATTTTTGCTTGTAATGTGTGAGCAACAATAACAATGGATATGCCCTGCTAACTCCCAAAGGGGCACACTAAAATTCCCTGATGTTAATTTGCTAGATTCCGGGTAGTCACCTTACTTAATTTAAGTCAGTACACAATGTTAATGAAAAGTCCTTAACTTTTTTGTTAAACTTTTTGTTCTTTTTTTAGTATTTCATAGCACCTACTAACTCTGACTCCAGAGGTTCAGAACAGGTAGGTAACATCAAGTATGTAACTTAGATAAATAGCAAGTACTTAAATAATAGGTATTTAGTTATTACTATCCAATGTTAAGATTTACAGTCCCGGTTTGTTACATATAAAGATGTTTTTGTTCCACCAAGCATCTTGGGTCTTCTTTGCTGCAATCTCTGAATTTTGTTTTTCTTCGAGTTAGGTATGGAGAGTTGAATACTGTTCCTGAAATACAGGCTAATATATAGATGTCATGCTCCCATAGTCTTCTCATGTAACACATCATCTTCCAGTTAGTTTCCTGAACTGTTCATGCATGGTGCACCATCACATTCTTTTTGCAGACACTGATGCAGTACAGCTGCATACTCACTAACCCACTTGCTGCCACTTAAAGTCTGGTTTGAAGTAACTTCTCCCAAGTGAATTAGTTTATACTCAGACATATATTCCTTCTGACCCATCATCTAGTCTCACAAGATTATCATGTAAAACAGTTACTCCCCTATTCATGTCAACCATTTCCCTTAGCTAAATTAGAACTAATTATCAATTATTAATATGTAAGTGCACATAAATATTAAATGTCTGCTGCTACTCCAGAACAGTTACTGACGGGAAAGTCAATGGGGCAACCAAGATAAAGGTATGGTTTTTCATGGGCGCTGTTGTGGTTTTTGAAAGAAGCGCGTCAGGTGCTGCGAACCAGCTTTGCACAACTCTTTTTGTGGTTGACCTATCAAAATGGTATTGTGTACAGTGATGTAGAATTACATATCCTTCTGGTATTTGTGCAAATTTAAGTATGCTAAGGATGAATTAAACAGTAAAAAACCTCACTTGTGTATTTCATAGGGGCTGTAGACTGGGCTGCTGCTTTTAATATATAGGGAAGGAGAAGGGGCGGGAGCAGAAATAGGGCAAGAGGAAAGAAATGGAGTGTGCCAGGTATTTTGAAAGCTTGTTGCTCCAGGGCCTGCTGGGAAGTTGGGAATATTAGAGCTGGTAATGGCTGTTTTTTGAGGTGCCGACTGTCCCAGCAGGAATAGTTATCACCTCACACGCTGCTGCCCATGAGTTGGCAATACCAGCAGTAGCAATGAGGCCAGCCTTCCAGCAGTCTGGTGTAGGCAGAGGAAGCACTGGAGTGCAGCCATTTCGCAGATCCCAGCAACCTGCTGTCTTAAGCAACTTTGCCTGTGCCTAGAGAGAATCCTGCTTATGATCATGGGAAATGAAAATATAAGCTAATGTTCTTTCCACTTTATCAATTGTCTCACAGTGTGCCTGGTGCTGGTAGTTACCCTACTGGAAATTTCTACTTCATTTGGTTTTATGTTCTTACATTACATGATGATAATCTAGTGTTCTCTCAAATACCTGATATATACAATAATTAATTTAAAGAGCCAATGACAGGTCTAGACAAGAGACATTTATTATATGTATAGCAAAATATAAATATTAAAGGTTTTATTGCCGTATGAACAAAAAGCGTATATGTAGAAAAAGCCCACCCCCAAACCAACTGGCTTTTTCTACTTGGTGAACTAATCAGAGAGATTATTCCCTTTTTTTTTAACATATTGCTTGTGCTCCTAAAGGCTGTAGATTGCAGAAAGCCACGCAGTCACATTTACTCCCTTTACTAGATAAGATTCAGGAAAGCATAAAACATTTATGAAAGACAATATCAATATTGCACGTGTCCTGGTTTTGGCTGGGATAGAGTTAATTTTCTTTCTGGTAGCTGGTATAGTGTTATGTTTTGGATTTAGTATGAGAATAATGTTGATAACACACTGATGTTCTCAGTTGTTGGTAAGCAGCGTTTATACCCAGTCAAGGATTTTTCAGCCTCTCATGCCCAGCCAGCAAG